GGACTCGACGCCCACTTGTTCTGCACTTACCGGGCACCAACGTTCTCAAGCGAGCACCCTCATTGCTCCCGCAGAGTTCTCAGGGACTGATTCAGAGACATTTGCTTCTCTGTCCTTGAGTTCTCTCTACCTTGGCCCCTCCAAATGCACATTCATACTTAGAGGGTGCTCATCACCTGCCAAGAGCCATCTTTGGGCCTTTGGAAACGCTGGCTTTTAGAACACTCTTCCTTTCCATGACATGAAGTCCACCTCCCTTGCGAACCCTCACTGGTCCTGCTCTACCCTCTGGCTACACAGGTTAAGTATTAGGCCTCTTCCAATAAAGCTCCTGCTCAATAATCAGCAAACTAATTGCCCATTACTATGTAAAACCAAGCACCTGTATGTGCTTTCCCCCATCATTTAACCTTCACCCTAACCCTATTAGGCTTATACCACTGTATTCCCATTACACGGTGGAGCAAATCGCACAGAGACAGAGACCTTTTCCAAGGTTACAAATTAGTTTTAGGCACCATCAAGATTTGAATCAAGGTTGTCTGGCTTGAACTAAAAAGGAGCTGAGAACTGCTTACCATCTGGAAACCCCTTCACTTCACAAATACCTATGGAGTACTAAGTCATTTATTCAATAATTACTATAGAAAATAATCATAGAAAAATAAAACTGACAAAAAAAATATATATCCCTGTCTTCATGGGGTTTCCCTTTCAGTGGGAAGACAATAACAAAAAAAAAGAACAGAAAATTTGGAAGAATGAACACTAAGGGGAAGAGAATTTTTGTAGTTCTAAATAGAGTACCTATGATTTCATGGTTTCATTATTTTTCTTCACCTCTAAAACTTGAGCTCCCAAAGTCCTTAGGGAAAGATTTTGTTCTGTATCCCAATGCCTAGTATCTGACATATAGTTGATGCTCGATAAATCCTGAATGGATGAATAAATGCTAAATGACATGGTACTTGTCTTCGTGACGTTTACATTCTAGTGGGGGAGACCAACAGCAATCATAAATAAATATATAATCACAAACTGTGATATGCACACTAAAAGAAATGGGTAGAGTGCTGTGGTAAAAAACACAGAGTAGGGAGGGTCTACTGTAGACAAGGTGGTCCAGAAAGGCTTCATGGAGAAAGTGACATTATGCCAAGTGATACTGGAGCTGAGATCTAATGTATAAGAAGAGCCAGCCTCCTGCAAATCAGTAGAGAGGAATACTGCAGCCAGAGGAGACAACCCATGCAAAGACAGAAGCTGGTGGGTTTGAGGAGTGACAAGGAGACCAGGGCAGCTGGAATTGAGTAAGTGGGGAGAAGAGGGAAGTCAGGTTCAGCTGGAGAGGTCCACATGTCCCCCAGGTCATACAAGAAACAATGGGAACTGAGCATGGTGGCACAGCCTTGTAACCCCAGCAACTCAGGAGGCTAAGGCAGGAGGATTGGAAGATTGAGGCATTCTCAGCAACTTAGCAAGGTCCTAAACAATGTATTAAGACCTGTCTCAAAATAAATAATTAAAACGGGATGTAAAGAACCCCTGGCTTCAACTCTCTTAGCAACCACAAAGAGAATGAGAGAGTCAGTCACAGGGGAACAGAAGCAGAGCAAAGAAAGAAGGATTGGAGGAGATGGGGTTGTGGCTCAGTGGTAGAGAGCTCATCTAGCACGTGCAAGACACTGGGTTCCATCCTTCAGCACCACATAAAAATAAATAAATGTCCAACTACAACTAAAAATTATATATAAGAAAAAAGAAAGAAAGAAGGATTGGAATAAGAAACAGGGATAGATGCTGGAGAGAAGAGACAGAGACACCCAGAAAAAGAGGGAAAACTGATGAACAGAAGAAAGAGCCAAGGATGGTGTTTGCAAAGAATTCTGAAAGGAACCAATTACGGGAGCTTATTGGTGATCTCATTTTATAAGTATGGAAACTGAGGCTTCAGAGAGCATGAGGCACTGGCCAAGGTCACATAGCTAATAAATGGTGAGCCCAGGACTTCAATCCAGATCTGACTGATTCCACATCCCTTTGCTCCTTGTGCCAGGAAAGGCAGCAAAGACTATGATGGGAGAAGAAAAGGCAGTGCGAGCAACAGGTGGCCAGATGAAAAGAGAAATTCTGCTTTACTTTAAAAAGACCACAGATTTCTATAATCCTTAAGAGAAGAACAAGAAAGGAAGAAAGAATGCCTGAGCCCTCAGTAACTGGCCCAAATCTAGGGAAAGGGAGACGGCACTACCGTCTGTGCCAGGCCATGAGGAAATTCAATTACCTGCAACTCATGGAATATTTATGATGCCTACCCTGTGCCAGGCCCCATATTGAGCACTGGTGTCATGGAGATGAACCAAACATGGCCCTACATGTGCCTGGAGCGGGACGTGGGTGCATCAATAACTGAGACAGTGCCCTAAAGGTCATAACACTGGTCCAGAGAAAACACAAAGGCAGCAGGGGTGGACTCAATAAAATGATATCTGAACCTGGAGTTTCCCAGGTAGGTAAGGCAGGAAATTCAGGCAGAAGGAACAGCCTTCAAGAAGCATAAGGCAAGAAAGTACTGGCACAGGTGAGTCTGAGGTACAGTTGGATCCTAGGCTGTGCACACTCCAACAGCAGAGAAAGCTGCAAAGACAGGATGGGAGTCAAGGTGCAAAGGGTCTTGAATGCAAGGTCTGAACAACTGGACTTGAGCCCTTCAATTAGTGGTTCTCAAACTGCGCCCCTGGGGGAACCCAGAGGGCCTAGACTAGAAGCAAGGGCTATAGGAAGGTGCAAAGAGAGAAAATTGAGCTACAAGGAAGAAGACTTATTGGATGATTCTCCAGGCTGTCTAGTTGGACTGCCCAGAGATTCAGGGGAGCCAATGTGGTGGAAAAGATAATGTCAACAGCTCAATGTCACCTAAAGAGTCTTACAACAGTCTTGGTAGGCCTGTGTGTCACCATAAAAATAGGTCAGTGGGACAAGATTTTGTGTGCACAGTGTGTGTGTGGGGGGCTTTCATACAACTATAGGATCAAGTCTTTCCCCCTTGATGCACATGAATTTTCCTTCTCTAAGAATAAAAACAAGTGCAGACATCTATCTATTGAGCATACTATGAGCCAGACCCTACTCCATGTTTTACATATGATATTTTCATTTAATCTTTTTTTAAAAAATATTTATTTATTTTAGTTTTCGGTGGACACAACATCTTTGTTGGTATGTGGTACTTAGGATCGAACCTGGGCCGCACGCATGCCAGTTGAGCGCGCTACCGCTTGAGCCACATCCCTCATTTAATCTTTACAATAACTCCCTAATAATAGTTTTCAAATGCTTCCATGTGCCAAGCATTGTGCTAAATGCTTCAAGTGAATACTATTTCATTTTATCTACAATGAAACAGATAACTATTAATCCCACAATTTTTAGGCGTTTGGGGTTTTTTTGTTTTTTTTTTTTTTTTTTTTTTTTTAAAGATTTTTTTTAAAGAGAGAGAGAGAACTTTTAATATTTATTTTTTAGTTTTTTAGTTCTCGGCGGACACAACATCTTTGTTGGTATGTGGTGCTGGGGATCGAACCCGGGCCGCACGCATGCCAGGCGAGCGCGCTACCGCTTGAGCCACATCCCCAGCCCCCATGGTTTTTTTGTTTTGTTTTGATTGTTTTTGCAGTGCTAGGGATTGAACCCAGGGCCTCTCATATGCTAGGCAAGTGTTCTACAAATGAGCCACATCCCTAGCTCTATTCCCTTGATTTTTAACTATAAGAAAATGAAGGCCAGAGAAACCAGGTGACTTGCCTAAAATCAAAGAGCTCAAAATGACAGAGCTAGGACTTAAAGCCAGATTTGCCACAATCCAGTTTCCACATCACTGTACTCTGCTGTGCCAGCCTCAACAGAAAGGGTCTAGAATTTCAGGTCACCAAAATCCATATAAAGGTCCTCTTCCTTCTCCTTTAAAGCCCTGACTGTCTCAAAGCCTATTCCTTAGTCCACCTGCATCATAATACTCTTGAGAGCTTGTAGGGGTGTATGCTCCCAGTCCTCTCCCCGAGATTCTAATTAGGTGGGTCTGAATGGGACCTCTCATGATTTTATGCACAGAAGATTCTGAGTCACAGGGCAGCTTCAATAGCACCTCCTCCAAGGACCCTCAGTCTCCTCTCCCCAGCACATCTCTTCCTCAGACTAAAGCAGTGCACTCCGGCATGTGCTAATATTCAACTCGGGTTTTAGTTACGTTCATGTCTTCCCTCCACCAAAAATAAGAATCTAGCATCGTTAAAGGGCTATACCTCTTTACAAAGAATTTCCAGTTTCCCACTTAATCTCTACACTATGAGCATTTTGAAAAGGCACACTCCTGGTGATTCCTCCCTTATCTCAGAACACACTTAACATTTTATGATATCTCCTGTGTCCATGATAACATTCTCCTATTGTTGCATCCAATGCTCACAACAATCTGACATGAAGCTTATTATCTCCATTTTAGCAAATTAGGAAGTGGCACTGCTAGGATTTGAACCTAAGTCTTCTAACTACTTCTACTACTGCTTCCTTATCATCGCCATTCAATATAGTAAGTTTTACCTTTCTGTTCCTTTCCGGATTACACAAAAATAATATTTTAAAAAGCCTGGCCACACACAAGCCTGGCACAGTGTGCTCTCAATAAATCGTGGAAAAAGGAAACTGAGGCCGAGGGAGAGAAAATGACTTTCCCAAATCCAACAACAAAGCGCAGGCTGAAGGCACAGCAGTAGGCCAGTCCCAGACTCTCCAAGTTGCAAAAGCAGCCCTGGAGGGCTCAGAAAAAAACTGCAACTCCAGCAGGTTCCTGCACTGCCCAACTCTGGTTCCCACGAGGTCTCACCAGGCGCCCCCGCGCGGCGGGCAGGAGGAGAAGGTCCTTTAAAGAGGCTTTTGGGGCGTGGTCGCTCGGTGGGGCGGGGCGAGGGGCGGGGCGCAGGCGCGCGGTCGCGGGAAGATGACGTGTCCGCGTGCGCCGAGTGCTGTGCGGGCTGGAAGGAGCATGTGGGTCCGCTGCGCGCTGTGGGGGGCGCGAGCCCGGTCGCAGCTGCAGTCGGGAGTGCTGGCACCTCGGCGCCGCCACGGTGGTGCTGCCTCTTACTCCGCATCGGCCCAAGCCTCCCGGGTCCGGGCGCTGATCTATGGGAGCCACGGAGAACCAGCCAAGGTCGTCGAGTAAGAGACGGCGCGAATCCCGGAGGGGACGGGGTTATCTAAAGGGGTTTGAGGTGGGCTTTGAATTGGGAGGGGAGGGATGGGGTCCCAGGAAGCGGGCAGAGAGTAGTAAGACCAAAACTGAAGCCCAGGGCGCCTTTAATAGCTTTAAAAAAGTCCATGCTTCTAGATAGTTGAAGACCAGAGAGGCACAGTCAGAATGGTCAAGGCTAACGTCCATTCATGAGTATTGTGTCGGGCAGTCCTGTGTTTAAATGAATGTTCTAGTTTAATTGCCACAACCACGTTGTTAGTTGCTGGATTTACTCCCATTTTGCAGATGAGAAAACTGAGGCATTAGGTCAAATCGCTTGCACAGTGTCATACATCCAATACGTGACAGACTCGCTGACTGGCGCACCTTAGTTCTTCCTCTCAGTTTTTAGAGGGGTTTTTCAGAATACTTTTACATCCATTGGATCTTCATGTCACAGTTAAGTAGATAATAGATTATTATTTCCATTTTACAGAAGGCAAGGAACTTGTCCAAAGTGATACAGCTAATAAATGATTGGAAAGGGACTAGAATCCATGGCTTCTGTCTCTCATGATTTCTCCACTGCACCAACTTGGCCTCATTTAAAAAAAAAAAAAAAAGCTGTTTCCAAGCCCTGCAGACCTAAAGTCGAATACAAGTTCAACCCTTTAGCAGCTGTTTGATTTTGGACAAATCATTCAACCTCTCTGAGCCTTCCACTTTTATGATCATGTCCTCATAAAATGCTGTTGGATCTTAGTGGGTTTTGCATGTGGCTGATAAAAAACAGTTATGTGAGTTGTCAACTATTAATAAATCTGCACATAAATAACTAGCCATTCAAAGGGGCTGTTCAGGCTGCTGGAGTAGTGTTAAAGCAAAAGTACAAACCTAGGAATCAGAATACTTGGAGTTAAATCTTTGCTCTGACTTGTCCTAGCTCTGTGTGTCCAACAACAAGTGTCTGAACTTCATGAGCCTCAGTTTCATTATATTTAAAAATGGCTCATAGGACTAATCAGCTCAGTGTAATTCAATGTTCTCCACCAAAACCACCTGCATATTCCCCTGCAGTGCAATGTGCACAAATCTTAAGATTCCCAACAGTTTGATTGTTTAACAAAGGATGGGCAAACATGGAATTGTTGTAATGGTTAAAATACAGGCTAGATATTTTGACAGGCAGAGAGGAAAAGCTGCAGATGAATTCAAGTCATACACTCAACCTTACCGCATCTACCTTTAGAGCAATTAAAAGGAATAGCAAGAAAACACATCAGGGCTGGAGGTGGATCTCAGTGGGAGAGCACTTGCCTAGCATGTAGGAGGGCCTGAGTTTGATCCCTAGCACCACAGGGGAAAAAAGAAGACAATAAACCCCAAGTTGTATTTTGATTGTAGGTAATAAATCATAGCACCAGAGAGGACATCTTCCTGAGGTCTGTGCTGCAGAGGGATGGAAGCTCTCATGAGCACTCCTTCATTTCCAGGAGTGCACCTCAGGCAAGAAGGAAGTGATGTCTCATGGGATTTATATGTATGTCTGGGGCAGGACTAGCCACAAAACAGTGCTCCCATAACGTTAGTTAAAATCTGAGTCTAATTTCACTAAGAAATATACCTTTTATTGAGTTCTACTCTGACAATGAGGAAGGCCTGGGAATTTTTAAATGGCTAAGTGCCCTTGCCTCCTGAGTCCCTCCTCTTAGGGGGCCAAAGCTGAAAGGTTCTTCTGCAGCTCCTGCTGGGAAAGAAAAAAACAAGTTCTTTTGTCTCCTTGTGTAAAACCCTAGTGATTTCCCTGAAGTTCAAAACATTTCCACAAAGCACTGTAGTCAACTTTGGCTTCAGAGTTCAGTCACCTGTGGTACTTCAGGTGAAGTACGCAGTAGGTCTGGGTTGGATGGCCTGGAGCATCTGTCTTTTTTAAAGCACTGCAGGTGTCCAGGTGACGGCTACCCAGCCAAGGTTGAGAACTACCACCCTGTGGATAAGTGGTCAGGCAAGCAGTAATTGTTCCTCTGTCCCCAAAAGGCATCTTTCCCTTCTGACCCAGATTCAGGCAACTTTACTCTTTTCATGTATGGACTGAGGCCAGAGACTGGGATTCTCTTTGTACTCATGTCTTAGGAGGTTTAGGATAACCACACTGTCACAGAAAGAATCGGGTGTCCTTTACACATCCCAGTAACTGGATGTCTAGATCAGGTTACACCAATAAGGTCATGGAACTGTCCAGAGTACTAACAGCGTTCCCCAAACTGGTATGTTTTGTGATGCTGGCACTGTGGGCTCTGGAGCAGGGGGTGGGGAATGAGGAATGGTCTGCTCGGATCTGGAGGGGTTTCAGAACTCCTCAAAATGAGGCTTTCTGTTCTCATGTCAAGCTTACAACGTTCCTATTTTCAATTCTGCTGACACTCAGACATTCCAGCTCTTCTCTCTACTAAGCTATTTTTCTCTGTCTCTTAGTTTCTTTCCCTTTCTCCCCAAATGGGACCCTAAATAAGTGCTTGGGCCTTTTTCATTTAAAAGATTGAACCGCTGACCTAAATGAAGTCATCCTGCACGGGAGATACAAGCATGGTGGAAATCTCAGAGGTCCCCATGGCTCTTGTCTGTTTTGCCATCTGAATTCCCTGTAAAATAGTTTCCAGAACCCTGATGTCTTCCTTTTTCCTCCTTTTTTTCCCCCCAAAAGACCTCTTAGAACTTTTCTATTCTCTGGGCATTATGGTGGAGAGTCCTCATTTTTTGTATGCCTACTGTGTACCTTGGGCTAGGTTCTCCTCTCATAGTAAGGAATTTTAAGATCACAATAGGATGGGGGTGGGGGACAGCCCAGTCGTGGAGCCCTACCTCCCTCAGACTCAGTCTCTGGCACTGGGAGAAAATCACAGTGATCTAGTTTGGTCACTGTTATCCCCATTTTACACACAAGGAGACCAAGACTCAAGAAGATTGAAAGGCACTTGTCCAAGATCATAGAACTAGACTGCAATCCTTCAGGGGCTGGGTGCAGTGCCATTTACCTGTAATCCCAGCAGCTCTGGAGGCTGAGGCAGGAGGATCACGAGTTCAAAGCCAGCCTCAGCAACTTAGTGAGGCCCTAAACAACTCAGCAAGACCCTGTTTCTAAGTAAAATATACAAAAGAGGCTGGGGATGTGGCTCAGTGGTTAAGGGCTCCCTGAGTTCAATCCCTGGTTACCCCCCAACTTCAAAAAATCCTGAAGAAATGACAATTATCTCAAAGGAATTTTTTTTTTTTTAAGAATGAGATAAATTGGGAATAAAATCAGTCAGAAAAAAAAGTGAAATTACAGGTCATTCAGGTGCCTGAGTTTCTGCTCTTTATAGGAAGGGTAGCCCCACCCTAGAAAAGGTAGAAGCCCTCTGTCCCCTCCCTTTTTCAGATCCTGAAGCTGTGGTAAAACTATTTGGTCATGGTGCCCACGCCTGCCTGTTGCTGGTACAAGACAAAACTGAGCTGGAAAAGCTTTGGCCACATAGCCATGGAGTTTAGGAAACAGGTAGTGGGGCTCAGGCAGCGCAGGAAGTACATTCTCACTCTAGGGCTCTGTGTCTTCTAAGAGGGGGTTCTTCTTACACTTGAATACCAAAACTTTGTGTGGGTAACTTGATTTATATATATATATATTTTAGTTTTAGATGAACAAATACCTTTATTTTATTTTTATGTGGTGCTGAGCCTCAAACCCAGTGCCTCACGCGTGCTAGGCAAGCGCTCTACCACTGAGCCACAACCCCAGCCCCAGTAATTTTATTCTTAATCCAGTATTATAGTACTTTGAAAAAAAAAATAGCATTTTGCTTTGGTGCTCTTTGGAGGGCTCTTTTTCATAGTCGTGAATGGAGAGAGTGGGAACTTCATTTAGTAAGTTAGCCAGCATTTATTCTTTGAAGGTGAACATTGAGGATGCAGAGACAAATAATTTATGGGCTTTGTTCTTAGGAAACCCTAGTCTAGTCCAGAAGAAAGGCCACCAGAGCCCAGAGCAGTAAGTGCTGATGGGTCATGTGTAGAGAGTGGCGGACACCCCCAAGAGGGTCCCTGACGCCCTCAGGGAGATTAGGAATGCATTCTCTGAATACAGGAGGGCAGGGGAGCTGTTAATGAGGAGAGAAAATGCAGAAATATTCTAAGCAGAAAAATCCACGTGTGCAAAATCCCAGAGAGAAGAGGAAACATGATGTGTCTGATCAGCTAATACTGATGGAGAGCCTACTGCACACTTAGTGGGGACTCCTTTGAGGGATCTACCTGCTGGACCAGCTCAAAGGACTAGCCAGCGGTCACGGGATTCACATGCCAGTGGATTCCACATCCTGTACCATGCATGTATTACCTTCCATCTGCACTTCAGATGTGGTGTTCCAGGCCAGTTCCTTCTACCCCAAGTTCCTCATTCTTGCCTCTGGAGGTGAAAGTTGACACGCCTCCAGGAAATTGCACAATGGGCTCAAGTCTTCCCTCTCCATCTGCAGCATCTGAGAGAAGTGCTGTCACTCAGCACAGCTGCAAGTTATTACTGTTGCCTGCCCTTTGCTAGCAGCTCTTGCTGCACTTTTGTGTGTGTCCTGGCCTTTCCCACCCTGGATCAGGAGGGAGGGGTCCACATTTTAGAGGCAGACAAAACAAAGATGACCCAAGGTCAGTGTGATTCAGGCTATTCCATTGGGGACCACCTGTAAGAACACTGGTCTGGGTTCCACTTCCACCTCTGCCGTGAATTATTAGAGCAAGGAAATCATTCTAGTCTCTGTTCTGTTCAGTTACTCTTCTATAAAATAAAGGGTTTGGCCAAAGTCAGCAAGTAAACATCCTGGTAAACCCAGGATGCATGCTGCCCCCCACCCTTTTCTGTATACCTCAAAACCTACACCCCTCCTTTAGCACATGCTCCCCAAACAGCACTCTTTCCTGCCAAGAAAAGGTGAGGCCTTGTGTTAGCTCTCCATAA